GCCCGGCAGGGACAGCCCTGGCCGTTGCTCCTGTGCCTCCCAGCTGGCCAAACGGCAGCTCCGGTGGGGACGGCTGATGGCCTCACAGCCCTGCAGGGGCAGCACCCGGGGGACACACGGACAGAGCCTGGGGGAGCTGCCTGGGGGGGCAGCGGAGCCCCTGCCCCCTGCGTGTCCCTTTGCCACCGTGGGATGCGGTGCCGTGCAGGAGAGCAACTCCATCCCTTGGCAGGAGAAGCATTGCCATGGCAACCGGCAGGGCCACGCTGCCAGCCGGGGAGGCTGTGACGGCGACACCCGCAGTGCGGGAAGGAGCCGGGAAGCAGCGCCCAGGCACGGGGGCATCTGGGGACACACACGGACATGTGGGTGCGAGTGTGTGTGTGGCAAGGGGTGTGTGTGCATGCATGTGCACATGTCCGTGTCCATGCACACACATGTGCGTGTGTGCGCATGTGAGAATAATCCCTGGGGATGGGAGCAGGGATGTTTGGCTTTCTGGTGCTGTCAGGGCAGAGCGTCTCCCACTATCCGGGGCTGACAGCACTGGAGGGAAGGGGAGCTGCTGTGGACTCTTGGTGCAACAGGCTTTCCCCCAAAGCGATGGGGTCTGGGGTCTGCACTTTTGTGTCTGAAGGCGTGATGTGTCCCACAGGGGAATGAGGCCTTCAACACGGGTCTCCGTGTGTGTCCCCTGGCCCCTTGCCCTCAAAGCCAATCCCCTGCAGGATGCAAAGGCTGCCCTGCAGGCAGCTCCGCTCTGCCTGCACCCCTGCACTGAGGCACCCCACAGTGCCCTAGGGCCCTGCTCCTGTTTACAGAGGCCAGTGCATGTGCTGCTGCCCAGGGCCGGGCACCAGGGCAGCTGAATCTCTTGCTATTTCGCTGGGGGCCTCCTGGGCGGCGGGGAGCAGCTATGCGGCGTGAGCAGCACAAGCAGAAGTGCTGGCACGGCCCCCGCTGCCTTCATCAGTGCTCAGGTGTTGAGGGAAGGGCTGGCTGCTGTCCTGCCCTATGCAGGCCCTGTGCCCAGCCACCGCATCCCTCCCCTCATCCCATCGCCAGCTGCGAGCACCCCCTCCCTCCCCTCTCATGAGAGAGCCTCTTCTCTCCTGCTTGGCATTTTCTGGCTCTAATTGAGCTGTCAATGGGTAGAGATAACAGGGAATTCGTTAGCGCTTCCCTTTGATGTCTGCCTGCACTGTGATCGCAGCACCCACGCCAGAGCCCAGTGCCAGCCACAAATTCTTCACAAACAGCTTTAAAGCTTGCACCTCATGGAGGCAGACTGCCGTCCTCATGGGCAGCCAGGTCCCCAGGACCTCTAGCAGCATCTCCATGGGCAGGCAGACCCCTGGGTCCTACAGCAACATCCCCACGGGCAGCCAGGTCCTCAGGATCTATAGGAGTAACCCCATGGGCAGGCAGTGTGCGCAGGTCCAGTAGCAGCATCCCCATAGGCAGCCAGGCCCATGGGCAGCCAGGTCCCCAAGTCCTATAGCAGCATCCCCATAGGCGGCCAGACCTCTGAGATCACAGCATTCTCATCAGTCCCCAGGGTCTATAGCCTGCCCCATGGGCAGCCCCCATGGGCAGCCAGCCTCCTGGCAGCTACAGCACCATCTCTGTGGGAAAACAGCCTCCTGGCACCTACAACAGCATCCCCATAGGCAGCCAGACTCCTGAGATCTATAGCAGCATCCTCATGGGCAATCAGACCCCAGGATCTGTCCTCAGATAGTGTGCCCCCATGGCCAGCCAGCTCCCGGCACCTACAGCAGCATCCCCTTGGTAGCCAGGTCCTGCACACCCATAGCGCTAGTCCAGGGGGCAGCTATCCCCCTAAGTGTATCTCAAAGGCTCGGGGGCAGCAAGGCGAGGGTGCATCGAGCTGCAGCCCCTGCAGTGCACCGCC